TTTAAATGTGTTTGATTTTCATTTGATTCAAAAAGCTTTGTTGGAATAAGTATGACTTTCATTTTATTCAATTAGCTACTTTGAATGCATTTGGCTTTCAATCGATTCTAAAAGCTTTGATTAAATGTGTTTGACTTTCATTTGATTCAAAAAGCTTTGTTTGAATGAGTTACACTTTCATTTGATTCAAAAAGCTTTGTTAAATGTGTTTGATTTTCAATAGATTTAATTAGCTTCTTTGAATACATTTGACTTTCATTCGATTCAAAAATCTTTTTTTGAATGTGTTTGACTTTCATTTGATTAAAACTGATTTGTTAATGTGTTTGAATTTCATTTGACTAAAAAATCTTTGTTTGAATGTGTGTGATGACTTTCATTTGATTTCAAAAGCTTTGTTTGAATGCATATGACTTTCATTCGATTCAAAAAGCTTTGTTTTAGTGTGTTTGACTTTCATTTGATTCAAAAATCTATGTTTGAATGTGTTTGACTTTTATTTGATTCAAAAAGCTTTCTTTGAATCCACTGACTTTCATTCGATTCAAAAAGCTTTGTTAGAATTTGTTCGACTTTCATTGGATTCAAAAAGCATTGTTAGAATGTGTTTGACGTTCGTTCAATTTAAAATCTATGATTTAATGAGTTTTACTTTCATTTGATTCAAAAAGTGTTTAAATGTATTTGATTTTCATTTGATTCAAAAAGCTTTGTTTGAATAAGTATGACTTTCATTTTACTCATTTACCTACTTTGAATGCATTTGGCTTTCACTCGATTCTAAAAGCTTTGTTTAAATGTGTTTGACTTTCATTTGATTCAAAAAGCTTTGTTTGAATGTGTTTGACTTTCATTTGATTCAAAAACCTTTGTTAAATGTGTTTGATTTTCAATAGATTTAATTAGCTTCTTTGAATACATTTGACTTTCATTCCATTCAAAAATCTTTTTTTGAATGTGTTTGACTTTTATTTGATTCAAACAGATTTGTTAATGTGTTTGAATTTCATTTGACTAAAAAATCTTTGTTTGAATGTGTGTGATGACTTTCATTTGATTTTAAAAGATTTGTTTGAATGCATATGACTTTCATTCGATTCAAAAAGCTTTATTTTAGTGTATTTGACTTTCATTTGATTCAAAAATCTATGTTTGAATGTGTTTGACTTTTATTTGATTCAAAAAGCTTTCTTTGAATCCATTGAATTTCATTCGATTCAAAAAGCTTTGTTAGAATTTGTTTGACTTTCATTGGATTCAAAAAGCATTGTTAGAATGTATTTGACGTTCATTCAATTTAAAATCTATGATTGAATGAGTTTCACTTTCATTTGATTCAAAAAGCATTGTTTAAATGTGAGTTAATTTTCATTTGATTCAAAAAGCTTTGTTTGAATAAGTGTGACTTTCATTTTATTCAATTAGCTACATTGAATGCATTTGACTTTCACTCGATTCTAAAAGCTTTGTTTAAATGTGTTTGACTTTCATTTGATTCAAAAAGCTTTCTTTGAATGTGTTTGACTTTCATTTGATTCAAAAACCTTTGTTAAATTTGTTTGATTTTCAATAGATTTAATTAACTTCTTTGAATACATTTGACTTTCATTCGATTCAAAAATCTTTTTTTGAATGTGTTTGACTTTTATTTGATTCAAACAGATTTGTTAATGTGTTTGAATTTCATTTGACTAAAAAATCTTTGTTTGAATGTGTGTGATGACTTTCATTTGATTTCAAAAGATTTGTTTGAATGCATATGACTTTCATTCGATTCAAAAAGCTTTGTTTTAGTGTATTTGACTTTTATTTGATTCAAAAATCTATGTTTGAATGTGTTTGACTTTTATTTGATTCAAAAAGCTTTCTTTGAATCCATTGAATTTCATTCGATTCAAAAAGCTTTGTTAGAATTTGTTTGACTTTCATTGGATTCAAAAAGCATTGTTAGAATGTATTTGACGTTCATTCAATTTAAAATCTATGATTGAATGAGTTTCACTTTCATTTGATTCAAAAAGCATTGTTTAAATGTGAGTTAATTTTCATTTCATTCAAAAAGCTTTGTTTGAATAAGTGTGACTTTCATTTTATTCAATTAGCTACATTGAATGCATTTGACTTTCACTCGATTCTAAAAGCTTTGTTTAAATTTGTTTGACTTTCATTTGATTCAAAAAGCTTTCTTTGAATGTGTTTGACTTTCATTTGATTCAAAAAGCTTTGTTAAATTTGTTTGATTTTCAATAGATTTAATTAACTTCTTTGAATACATTTGACTTTCATTCGATTCAAAAATCTTTTTTTGAATGTGTTTGACTTTCATTTGATTCAAACAGATTTGTTAATGTGTTTGAATTTCATTTGACTAAAAAATCTTTGTTTGAATGTGTTTGACGACTTAATTTGATTTCAAAAGCTTTGTTTGAATGCATATGACTTTCATTCGATTCAAAAAGCTTTGTTTTAGTGTGTTTGACTTTCATTTGATTCAAAAATCTATGTTTGAATGTGTTTGACTTTTATTTGATTCAAAAAGCTTTTTTTGAATCCATTGACTTTCATTCGATTCAAAAAGCTTTGTTAGAATTTGTTTGACTTTCATTGGATTCAAAAAGAATTGTTAGAATGTGTTTGACGTTCATTCAATTTAAAATCTATGATTGAATGAGTTTTACTTTCATTTGATTCAAAAAGTGTTTAAATGTGTTTGATTTTCATTTCATTCAAAAAGCTTTGTTGGAATAAGTATGACTTTCATTTTATTCAATTAGCTACTTTGAATGCATTTGGCTTTTCAATCGATTCTAAAAGCTTTGTTTAAATGTGTTTGACTTTCATTTGATTCAAAAAGCTTTGTTTGAATGTGTTACACTTTCATTTGATTCAAAAAGCTTTGTTAAATGTGTTTGATTTTCAATAGATTTAATTAGCTTCTTTGAATACATTTGACTTTCATTCGATTCAAAATTCTTTTTTTGAATGTGTTTGACTTTCATTTGATTAAAACTGATTTGTTAATGTGTTTGAATTTCATTTGACTAAAAAATCTTTGTTTGAATGTGTGTGATGACATTCATCTGATTTTAAAAGCTTTGTTTGAATGCATATGACTTTCATTCGATTCAAAAAGCTTTGTTTTAGTGTGTTTGACTTTCATTTGATTCAAAAATCTATGTTTGAATGTGTTTGAATTTTATTTCATTCAAAAAGCTTTCTTTGAATCCATTGACTTTCATTCGATTTAAAAAGCTTTGTTAGAATTTGTTTGACTTTCATTGGATTCAAAAACCATTGTTAGAAATGTGTTAGACGTTCATTCAATTTAAAATCTATGATTGAATGAGTTTTACTTTCATTTGATTCAAAAAGTGTTTAAATGTGTTTGATTTTCATTTGATTCAAAAAGCTTTGTTTGAATAAGAATGACTTTCATTTTATTCAATTAGCTACTTTGAATGCATTTGGCTTTCAATCGATTCTAAAAGCTTTGTTTTAATGTGTTTGACTTTCATTTGATTCAAAAAGCTTTGTTTGAATGTGTTAGACTTTCATTTGATTCAAAAAGCTTTGTTAAATGTGTTTGATTTTCAATAGATTTAATTAGCTTCTTTGAATACATTTGACTTTCATTCGATTCAAAAATCTTTTTTTGAATGTGTTTGACTTTCATTTGATTAAAACTGATTTGTTAATGTGTTTGAATTTCATTTGACTAAAAAATCTTTGTTTGAATGTGTGTGATGACTTTCATTTGATTTCAAAAGCTTTGTTTGAATGCATATGACTTTCATTCGATTCAAAAAGCTTTGTTTTAGTGTGTTTGACTTTCATTTGATTCAAAAATCTATGTTTGAATGTGTTTGACTTTTATTTGATTCAAAAAGCTTTCTTTGAATCCATTGACTTTCATTCGATTCAAAAAGCTTTGTTAGAATTTGTTCGACTTTCATTGGATTCAAAAAGCATTGTTAGAATGTGTTTGACGTTCGTTCAATTTAAAATCTATGATTGAATGAGTTTTACTTTCATTTGATTCAAAAAGTGTTTAAATGTATTTGATTTTCATTTGATTCAAAAAGCTTTGTTTGAATAAGTATGACTTTCATTTTACTCATTTACCTACTTTGAATGCATTTGGCTTTCACTCGATTCTAAAAGCTTTGTTTAAATGTGTTTGACTTTCATTTGATTCAAAAAGCTTTGTTTGAATGTGTTTGACTTTCATTTGATTCAAAAATCTTTGTTAAATGTGTTTGATTTTCAATAGATTTAATTAGCTTCTTTGAATACATTTGACTTTCATTCGATTCAAAAATCTTTTTTTGAATGTGTTTGTCTTTTATTTGATTCAAACAGATTTGTTAATGTGTTTGAATTTCATTTGACTAAAAAATCTTTGTTTGAATGTGTGTGATGACTTTCATTTGATTTTAAAAGATTTGTTTGAATGCATATGACTTTCATTCGATTCAAAAAGCTTTGTTTTAGTGTATTTGACTTTCATTTGATTCAAAAATCTATGTTTGAATGTGTTTGACTTTTATTTGATTCAAAAAGCTTTCTTTGAATCCATTGACTTTCATTCGATTCAAAAAGCTTTGTTAGAATTTGTTTGACTTTCATTGGATTCAAAAAACATTGTTAGAATGTGTTTGACGTTCATTCAATTTAAAATCTATGATTGAATGAGTTTTACTTTTTTTTTTAGCAAATAAAGAATTTATTACCAAAGAAAGAGAGTTACAACTTACAAAAGCTAAGTTATAACTACCATTATAACACCACAAGCCCAAACTGAACAACACACACCTCAAACACCTGTTCCAGGACCAACCCTAGCCATCTTCTAGGAAGGGTTCTAGGGAGGACCTAAAACAAACTGGACTCAAGCTTCCAGGTACCTTCAATGAAGGGCTCTGGAAACAAGGACCAGACAACAAAAAAATCAGCTACTTTGTAAAACAAAAGCTACCAACTGTACCACCAAACAGCAAAGCCTAAACATACAAATATTTTCTATCAGAATCAATGCATCTACAAGCAACAGAAAAAATAACTTCCCTAAAAGCAATATCTGCAGGCTTGTAGTCTCCAGTGAACATCAAAGTATTTCTCTGTATCCAGATGCAATGAATAGTCTCTGCAAAACACATAAGCAGCAACCTTCCTTTAGCAGTAGCTCTTCTACCTTGTTGCAGCACCCAAAGGACTTCAGAGTCAAATCTCTGCCCAATTCTACAGAACCCAAGAAGTTGTAAAATTTTGTTCCAAATACTAGCAGAATATGAACATTCAAAAAACAAATGAGAAACACTTTCTGCAGTACTAGCACAAAAGAAGCACAAAGGATCACAAGTTATTTTCAAAGTAGTAAGTCTATCTTTAGTGACTAATCTGTTCCAAATAGCCAACCAAGTGATAAACACACTCTTAGCAAAAGCCCTGTTATTGCAAATTATTCTCTTCCAAGTCACTTTCTCAACTTGTGGTCTGATCTGAGTGTAGAGCTGTCTGATGCTCATTTTACCATTAACTGTAATGCCAGTCCATCCACCAACATTATCAACCAAAATTCTACAATTCATGATTTTCCATAAAACCCAAGAACATTTGTTAGGAACAGGAGAAGACCAGAAATCTTTGTTGCTGAAATAATATGTATGAATCAATTTTACTCATAGATTATCAGATTTATGAGCAATGTCCCAAAGAACTTTGGTGATTACTGCTTTATTCCAATCTTCAAGAGAGGTAAGGTTCCACCCTCCACAAGTCTTAGGCAAGCATAAAAACTTCCAAGAGACCAGAGCTTTCTTACTAGGATTAGATTTCCCAGTCCAAAGAAAACATCTAAACCTTGACTCCATTTCTCTCAAAATCTTTTTTGGTAAAATAAAAATCTGAGACCAATAAGCTTGGATACCAAAAAGAACACTCTTTATCAACTGAAGCCTACCTGCATAAGACAAGTGTCTAGCTGCCCACCCTTCAATCCTAGCAGTTACTCTCTCAACTAGAGGCTTGCACTCAGAAATAGTAAGCTTTTTAGAAGAAAGAGGAACACCCAGGTATCTAAAAGGCAAAGAGCCTCTAGCAATCCCCAAAACAGACTGAAGCTCAACTTGATCCTTCTCACTTATCCCTCCAAAATAAACATCACTCTTATCTAGATTAGCAACCAAACCAGAAGCACCAGAGAATTTCTGAAAAGCTTGAAAAATCAACTGAACAGAGACAAGGTCAGCCCTGGAGAAAAGAAGTAAATCATCTGCAAACATCAAATGAGTAATCCCCAACTTTGCACATCTTGGGTGAAAATTGAAATCAGGGTTCAAAGTCATCACTTTTAAGCACCTTGAAAGATATTCCATACAAACAACAAAGAGAAAAGGGGACATAGGATCACCTTGTCTCAAACCCTTTTTAGTAGAAAAGGGAGGAGAAGGGTATCCATTGATCAAAACAGATTAAGAGACAGTTGTAACACACCCCATAATCCAAGAGATGAATCTGCTAGGAAAACCCAACTCAGCAAGAATAGTTCTCAAAAAACTCCATTCAACAGAATCATAAGCTTTCCTAAGATCAACCTTAAGTAAACATCTAGGACTGATGAACTTATGAGAATAACCTTTGATAAGCTAAGTAGCAAGAAGGATATGATCACCAATATGCTTACCAGGAATGAAGCCAACCTGAGAATCATTAATGACATCTCCAGTAACCTGTGAAAGCCTGGGTGTAATAATTTTAGAAATAAGCTTATAGACTAAAGTACAGCAAGCAATAGGTCTATACTCCTTTACATAAGAGGGATTAGAAACTTTAGGAACAAGAGTAATGGTAGTGCAATTCCATTGCCTAGCCATTTGACCATTAGAAAAGAAATCTAGAACAACAACATACACATCAACCTTAACAATATCCCAAGACTTTTTGAAAAAGACAGCATTGAAGCCATCAATTCCAGGAGCTTTATCATTATCAATACCCTTAAGAGCAAGATCAATCTCACTGAAATTAACTTCAGCCATAAGAAAATTCTTAGCATTCTGATCAAGCTGAGGGCCAGCTCTCATAACAGCTAAATCAACCCAAGGGAGAGAAGAAGCAGCAGAGCCTAAAAGATTCCTATAAAAATCCAAGATTTCAACAGCAATGAGATCAGGATCCCTAAGCAAAACCCCTTCAGTATTATAGATGGAATCAATTATGTTCCTGTTTTGCCTCTGCTTCATTACAGAGAAAAAGAAATGAGAGTTAGCATCTCCAAGCTTAATCCAGTCAATTCTAGATTTTTGCCTGTAAATACTACTTTGAATATGCATCGAATGTTTCACTTCATTTGGATATCACTAAGATCCCTGTGATCTTGCTCCAATTTTTCAGTGACATTAGCAAAATGTTTGATATTCAGAGCCTTCAATCCAAGTTTAACAGCCTTTAGTTTATTCCAAACAGACAGCATTGGGGAATCATGCTGTCCACAAGACTCCCAAGAATCCTTAACAGTCTGCTGGAAATCTTTATGATCAGAAAGGCAGTTAAGAAATCTGAAAGGCCTACCCTTCCCTAGACCAACAGTACTAATATCAAACAAAAGAGGACATTGATCAGAGAGAGAGGGAGGGAGATAAATGACTTCAGTTTGACCATAATCATTACTCCAAGCTTCATTGACAATTCCCCTATCAATTCTAGTAACAATTCTACTTGCACCTTCACCCTTGTTAGACCAAGAATAAAAAGAGCCTTTACTCTTAATCTCAGTGAAGTCCATTGATTCCATACAATCCTTAAAATCTCTAACTTTAGCATCAGTCACAAGATTTCCATTAAGTCTATCTTCAGAACAAAGGATAGAATAAAGTCCCCCATACAAATCTAAGGGACATAAGAACTCCCAAGAGACTGCAATCCAAGCCACAAAGGTTTTCAATCATGAATTGAATGCAGACCATACACAAAGGTACACAAAAAAAGATGTTGAGAATCTTAAGAGCTAATCTGAGTATGAACAAACTGTTCATGATCAGATAAAACATCAACAGTAACTTTATCAGTTTTCCATCCAACCCAAATTCTTCCTTTAACAGCATGATTATAGTTACAATGCCAAGACCAAAATCTACCAAACTTCTTCTGAATGGAATATTGATTATGAATTTTGAATTTAGTTTCTAGAATAGCAATCACATCCACACTATGATCTTTTAGAAGCTGCTTAATAGCAGCTACCTTATCAGGGTCATTAAGACCTCTTATATTCCAAGAAACTACAATCATTTAACCAAAGAGGGATTACCATACCCTCGATAGGATTTGTTTTAGCAATTTCATCTTCTAGCAAAGCAGAATAAGCATTGTTTGTTCTAGGAATATTCTGATTAACCCCAATAGTATGAGATCTAGCCCTTTTGCTTACCATCCTCCAATCAGCATCAGAATAAGTAGCAAAAGAAGCATGAGCAGGGGTAAACAAGGGTTGAATAAGTATGAATTTCATTTTATTCAATTAGCTACTTTGAATGCATTTGACTTTCACTCGATTCTAAAAGCTTTGTTTAAATGTGTTTGACTTTCATTTTACTCAAAAAGCTTTGTTTGAATGTACTTTCATTTTATTTAAAAAGCTTTGTTAAATGTGTTTGATTTTCAATAGATTTAATTAGCTTCTTTGAATATATTTGGCTTTCATTCGATTCAAAAATCTTTTTTTGAATATGTTTGACTTTCATTTCATTCAAACAGATTTGTTAATGTGTTTGAATTTCATTTGACTAAAAAATCTTTGTTTGAATGTGTGTGATGACTTTCATTTGATTTTAAAAGCTTTGTTTGAATGCATATGACTTTCATTCGATTCAAAAAGCTTTGTTTTAGTGTGTTTGACTTTCATTTGATTCAAAAATCTATGTTTGAATGTGTTTGACTTCTATTTGATTCAAAAAGCTTTCTTTGAATCCATTGACTTTCATTCGATTCAAAAAGCTTTGTTAGAATTTGTTTGACTTTCATTGGATTCAAAAAGCATTGTTAGAATGTGTTTGACGTTCATTCAGTTTAAAATCTATGATTGAATGAGTTTTACTTTCATTTGATTCAAAAATCTTTGTTTCAATGTGTTTGATTTTAATTTGATTCAAAAAGTTTTGTTTGAATAAGTATGAATTTCATTTTATTCAATTAGCTACTTTGAATGCATTTGACTTTCACTCGATTCTAAAAGCTTTGTTTAAATGTGTTTGACTTTCATTTGATTCAAAAAGCTTTGTTTGAATGTGTTTGACTTTCATTTGATTCAAAAAGCTTTGTTAAATGTGTTTGATTTTCATTTGACTTTCATTTGATTCAAAAAGCTTTGTTAAAATCTATGATTGAATGAGTTTGACTTTCATTTGATTCAAAAATCTTTGTTTGTATGTGTTAAACTTTCATTTTGATTCAACTAGCTTCTTTGAAAGCATTTGATTTTCTTTCGATTTAAAAACCTTTGTTTTAATGCGTTTGACTTTGATTTTATTAAAAAAGCTTTGTCAGCATGTGTTTTACTTTCATTCGATTCAAAAAGCTTTGTTTGAATGTGTTTGACTTTCATTTGATTTAAAAAGCTTTGTTTGAATGTGTTTGTCTTTCATTCAATTCAAAAGCCTTTATTTGAATGTTTTCGACTTTCACTTGATTCAAAAAGCTTTGTTTGAATGTTGACTTTCACTTGATTCAAAAAGATTTGTTTGAATGTGTTTGACTTTCATTCGATTCAAAATTTTTCTTTTTAATGTGTTTGACATTCATTTGGTTCAAAAAGCTTTGTTTTAATGTGTTTGAGTTTTATTCGACTCAAAAAGCTTTGTTTGAATGTGTTTATCTTTTATTTGATTAAAAAAGTTTTGATTGAATGCAATTCACTTACATTTCATTTGAAAAGCTTTGTTTGAATGTGATTAACTCTCATTTGATTCCAAAAGCTTTGTTTGAACGTGTTTGACTTTCATTCGATTCAAAAAAACTTTGTTTTAATGTGTTTGACTTTCATTTGATTCAAAAGCTTTGTTTGAATGTGTTTAACTTTTGTTTGACTTACATTTGATTTGTGTTTGACTTTCGTCTAATTAAAAAAAGCTTTGTTTGAATGTGTTAGACTTTCATTTGATTCAAAAAATTTTGTTTGAATGTGATTGACTTTCATTTGATTCAAAAAGCTTTGTTTGAATGTGTTTGACTTTCATTTGATTAAAAAAGATTTGGTTTAATGTGTTCAGCTTTTATTTGATTTAATTAGCTTCTTTGAATGCATAACATTTTTATTTAATTCAAAAAGCTTTGTTTGAATTTGTTGGACTTGCATTAGACTCAAAAGGCTTTATTTGAATGTGATTGACTTTTATTCATTTCAAAAAGCTTTGTTAGAATGTGTTCGATTTTCATTTGATTCAAAAAGTTGTGTTTGATTGTGTTTGACTTTCATTTGATTCACAAAGCTTTGTTTGAATGTGTTCAACTATTATTCGATTAAAAAAGCTCTATTTGAATGTGGTTGACTATCATTCGATTCAAAAAGCTTTGTTTGAATGTGATTGATTTT